ACACGCCTGAGGAGCCATGACCGGAATCACGACAGTGAACGTGTCCAGCAAAGCACAAGGGGCTCCTTTAGGGCCCTTTCCTCCCCGTCCTTTCAAACCCCTTTCCCACAATATGCAAGCAGCAGCAAGCATTTTCTAGATTTTTATGCTTCCTGGGGAGTGGGTCCCTGGCTTTTTTCATTAATCGTAATTGTTTTCAGATTAACCCATCCTGTTACATGTACCAATGGTTTATTCACTTGTATTGTTGGGTGCTGTTCCATTGTATGGAGATACTGCAGCTTTCTGTCCACTCAGCTGTTAGTGGCTATTTGGGTTGCTTCCAGTTTTGGGCTATTACCAATAAAGCTGCTGTGAGTATCTGTGCGTGTTACCCCTGAATAAATTCCATTGCGTGAATGTGCACAGTTCATCCATCCACCCACTGAAGGACGGTAGGGGCTGCAGGTAGCATTTTTATTTTCCTCTAGTTCAGAATATTTATGCTTCTTAAAGTTTCCCTTGTCATTTCTCCTTTTACCTGGAGGATATTTGGCAGCATGTGGTTTGGCCTAGGATCCTGGGCTGTCACTGATTGGCTGTCTGTTGGGGCCTGAGCGCTCATTGGCTGAATTTTAGAAGTTCGTGACTGTCAGAGATGTGCTGATTTTCAGAAGCTGAGTTACCGGATGAGGCTGTGGTTGCTGCTGGCTTTCAGAGGTCATCCGAAGTTAACTCTCATCTTGGTTTCTTATTCACAACTTTGGAATTGGGCCAAAAAACAGGCTTTTCTTTTCCTGGGTATGAAAAGTAAGCACTTTTTTAGTCCCCTCTTTTGCTCTTCCTCAGCCACACCCGCAGGAGAGACAGCCCATAAGGCACATCCCCAGGGTTCTTTATGCAGATGTGGTTTTGAGCTAGTGTTGCCACTAAGTGATTTAATTGCCAGTTGCAGGGAGAGAAAAAAAAATCGCTCTAACTTCTGACTTCTTGTAATGTATTGTAAAAAACCAAATACAGCCGAAACTGGTTTGGCTCAGTGGATAGAGCATTGGCCTGCGGACTGAAAGGTCCCAGGTTCAATTCCGGTCAAGGGCATGTACCAGGGTTGTGGGCACATCGCC